CCATCTTGTTTGTTCTCATCCAACATTTTCTTTTGAAAGACTTTTGAGATGATATGATGGGGTAAAAGTGTTTTGCATATATCAAGAACATTAATTTGAGGGGTGGGGTCTAAAGCTGGAATCCACCATTCATCTGTCAGTTTGTTGTAATGTCATGGTTTATGTGTTGCTATGAGGCTGGAAACTATGTCACCACTATTTTAAATACCAGCAGGGTCACCTATGGTGGATAGGATTCAGCTGAGCTTCCAGACTAAGACAAACTAGGAAGAAGGAGAAGCAGAGTGCTTCTGAATGGTTAGCCACTGAAAACCTTATGAAGATCATGACAACATTGTCTGGTATAGTGCCAGACATGAGCCCCCTCAGGTTGGAAGGTACTCGAAGTATAACTAGAGAAGAGCTACCTCATAGAGTTGACCTTGATGTGGATGGAGGAAAGCTTTTGGGACCTTCATTTGTTGATGAGGCACAACTCAAAATAAGAAGAAACAGTTGCAAACATCCATTATTAATTGAAATATGTAATGTACAAAGTATGAATTTAGGAAAATTGGAAGTTATCAAATATGAAATGGAATGCATGCATAAGATCAATATCCTAGGCATTCGTGAGCTGAAATGAACTGACTTGACCATTTTGAATTGGACAATCACATGGTTTACTATACCTGATGATAAACTGAAGAGGAATGGTGTCACATTCATCACTAAAAAGAGCATTTCAAGATCTGTTTTGATGCTCTGTGAGGGATTATTTTTATCCACAGTGCGGGCAGACCCTGGTGTTGGCCCCAGGACTGCCTCACCGGTTTTGCAGTGCCCAGAGGCAGCAGTGATGCTCACTTTGGCAAGCGAGTTGAAGTGGGATGACAGTCTCAAAGGGTCCCGCTTGGTAGCCCCAGTGTCCCACTCTACCAGGAGGGTGTCCGTGAGAAACAAGCTGCTCATCAAAGAGGTTACAGAACTTGAAGCTAATGTACCTTGCACTTGTAAAGTGCTTTCCCCCCCACCTGAATAAGCTCCACTGCTTTCAGCTGTGTCCCCAGTGAGGGACTACTAGAGTGGACATGTTCAGTTTGAAACTGAAGTTCCTGACGTGTACAGCATGGTGCCCTTCAAAGTGAAGTGCCTGACCAGAATCTGGCACCCCAACATCACAGAGGCTGGAGACAGCCATCTGAGTTTACTACGAGAACATTCAATTGACAGCACTGGCTGGGTTTCCCACAAAGATGCTGAGGATCTTTTGAATTTTGATGATCCATTAAATATTGACGTCTCAGAACATTATTTGAGGGACAAGGAGGATTTCTGGAATAAAGCTGACTACTACATTAAGTATTTATTGTTATTAAGTCATAGTGACTCTGTATAGGGTTTCCAAAGAGCGACTGATGAGCTTGAACGGCCGATCTTGCCACATGATTTGAGAGTCCTGCAGGAGCAGGGATTGAGGGATGCCATCATCTCTAATGTGAGCTACCAAGAACGAGTCCCTCCTTCCCCATCCTCACATGCCCTCTCCGCCTCGCCAGGCTGTCAACTTGTGACTGTGTTGTACTAAAGAAAACAGCTCCATAACTGCCCATTGGAGACAGAGACATCAACATAAATGCAGCAAGAAAATGTATCTTGGGTTCTAAAGAGCTGTCTGCTTGCCTTAACATGTTTTCTATGGTTGAAGCTGTGCTGTACAGGCTGTTGGAATTATTGCGAAGTTTTCATGAACTCAAAATGGAGACTAGTGCTTGCTGACCCCTTTCAAATGCAATGTTTCCTGCACAGATGATACTAATTATGTATTCAGTGTGACTGGCAGATTGACAATAAGAAACTTGCTGCAAACTGCTTGGATTTGACTTCTCTCATCCCCTGTCTAGAATGCAGCCCCACCCAGATCTTGCCAAATTCCCAGAATGCATAGAATCATGTACTGTCTACTTTACTGAAATGTGGTTTTCAATTTATTATATTTTGGAACAGATGTCATTTGTATAATTTAATGCTTTAATTTTTTTTTTCTATCCTCATTTAGTTTATTTACATTGTGTAGAGCACTCAGAAAGATGTTGGGTCAAATAGCTATTGAAGAGAAATACAAAGCAAATATGAAAAAGAAAATAAGAGGTCTTGAAGTACGATGCTGTCTGAGATAGAATAATATCCATATGCTTGTAAGGAAGCCCAGTTAATACCACTATTTACCAGATTTAAGCACCAACCACTAAAGCCAATGATGTTGAAATTTAAGAATTCTACCAACTTCTTCAGTCTGAAATTGATCAAACATGCAATCAAGATGACATAATAATTACTGGTGATTGGAGTGAGAAAGTTTGAAAACAGAAGAAAGATTAGTAATAGAAAAATATGACCTTGGTGAGAGAAATGATGCTGTAGATCACATGATATAATTTTGCAAGATCAATGTTTTATTTATTGCAAATATTTTTTTCAACAACGTAATCGGTGACTAGTCACATGGACCTCACCAGCTGGAATACACAAGAGTCAAACTGACTACATCTGTGGGAAGAGAGAGGGAGAAATTCAATAACATCAGCCAAAAACGTTCAGGTGCCAACTGTGAAACAGACCATCAGTTGCTCATATGCAAGTTCAAGATGAAGCTGAAGAAAATTAAAACAAGTCCACAGTAGTTAAATATGGGGTTGAATATATCCCACTTGAATTTAGAGACCATATCAAGAACAGATTTGTTGAATTAGATACTAATAACCAAAGACCAGAAGAGTTGTGGGATGACATCAAGAACAGGAAGAAAGCAAAAGGTCATTTAAAAGACAGGAAAGAATGAAAAGACAAAAATGGATGTCAGGAGAGACTCTGAAACTTTCTCTTCTGTGTAGAAAATCTAAAGCAAATGGAAGAAATGAGGAAGTAAAACAACTGAACAGAAAATTTCAAAGGGCAGCTGGAGAAGACAAAGTTAAGTATTATAATAAAATGTGTAAAGACCTGGAGTTAGAAAACCAAAAGGGAAGAACATGCTCAGCAGTCCTCAAACTGAAAGAACTGAAGGAAAAATTCAAGCCTTGACTTACAATACTGAAGGATTCTATGGGCAAAATATTTAATGATATAGGAAGCATGAAAAGACAATTGAAGGAATACAGAGTCACTGTATCAAAAATAATTGGTTGACGTACAAATATTTCAAGAGGTACCACATTATAAAAAATTGATGCTATTGAAGGAAGAAATTCAATCTATACTGATGGCATTGGGGAGAAAAACAAGACTCTAGGAATTGATCAAATACAAATTGAAATGTTTCAATAAATTGATGCAGCGCTGGATGTGCTTTCTCGCCAATTCCAAGAAATTTTGAAGACTGCTAACTGACCAATCAATTTGAAGAGATTCATATGTGTGCCCATTCCAAAATAAAGCACCTCCCAATGTGGAAATCATCAAACAATATCATTAATATCAAGCTCAAGTATAATTTTGCTGAAGATAGTTAAAAAATGGTTGCAGGGATCTGCTAGAAATTCAAGCAGAATTCAAAACAGGATATGTTGTTGTTGTTAAGTGCCTTCATGTCAGTTTTGACTCATAGTGACCCTGTATAGGGTTTCCAAGGAGCAGCTGGTGAGTTTGAACCACTGACCTTGTGGTTCACAGTCCAGTGCTGATACTACAGTGCTACACCAGAATGAGGGATATCATTGTTGTCATCAGATGGGTCTTGGCTGAAAGTAGAAAATACCAGAAAGATGTTTACTGGTGATGTATTGATTATGTAAAAGCACTCATCTGTGTGAATTATAACAAATTATGAAAAACATTGCAAAGAATGGGTATTCCAGAACAGTTAATTGTGCTCATGACAAACTTGTACAGAGACCAAGAGGCAGTCATTGAAACAGAAAAAGGGGATATTGAATGGTTTAAAATCAGGCAAGGTATGCGCCAGGGTTGCATCCTCCCACCATACTTATTCATTATGTATGCCGAGTAAATAATTGGAGAAACTGGTTCATATGAATAGTAATGTAGCATCAGGATTGGAGGAAAACTCATTAACAACCTGTGATATGCAGATGACAAAACCTTGATTGATGGAAGTGAAAAGGACTTGAAATGTCTACTGGTAAAGATCAAAGACTCCAGCCTTCTGTATGGAGTGCACTTCAGTGTAAAGAAGACAAAAATCCTCATAATTAGATCAATAAATAGCATCATGATTAATGGAGAAAAGATTGATGTTATCTAAAATTTCATTTTGCTTGGATCCACAATCAACCTTCATGGAAGTTGTTGTTATTGTTGTTAAGTGCTGTCGAGTCGGTTCTGACCCACAGTAACCCTATACAGGATTTCCGAGGAGTAGCTAGTAAGCTTGAACCACCAACCTTGCAGTTCAAACTGACTTTGCAGTCTAGCATATTAACCCACAGTGCCACACTAGGAATCCAAGAAATCAAATCAGGCCTCCAAGACGTTAGGAAATTAATTTTGGTGTATTGCATTAGGCAAATCTGCTGCTAAAGACCTCTTTAAAGTGCTAAAGAGCAAAGATGTCAGTTTTATCAAGAAGACCGTAGAAAAACCAATGCATTTGAATTATATGTTGGCAAAGAATATTGAAAGTACCATGAACCACCAGAAGAGCAAACACATCTGTGTTGGAAGAAGTATAACCAGAATACTTATTAAAAGCAAGGATGGTGTGACTTTGTCTTTGGTACTTTGGGTATGTGGTCAGGAGAAGAATATCATGCTTGGTGAAGTGAAGGGTTAGAGAGAAAAAAGGAAGACCCCCCCCAAGGAGATGGATTGATACAATAATAGCAATACTGAGCTCAAACAACAATTGTGAGGCTGGTACATTACCCCGCATTGGGTTTCTATGAGTTGGAACCAAATTGTCGACACCTAACAACAACAATAAAGGGTGAAATGCCACAGATTGAATTGTGATTCCCCAAAATGTATGTATCAACTTGACGAATTCATGATTCTCAGTGGTTTGGTAGTTATGTAATGATATAACATTGCAGTTATGTAATAATTCTCCATGATCTGATCTGATAAAACCAGTAAGAGGATTAAAGGTGAGCTGCAATACTCTTAATCCTATCACAACCCTGATCTAATATAAGGGTTATGGCCTGCAATACCTTTTATCTTACTAGAAATAAAAAGAGAGAAAAGTGAGCAGAGAAAAACGGACTAACTACCACCAAGAAAGAAGAACTGGGAGTGCACGCTTTGGGCCTGAAGTCCCTGCACTGTGAAGCTCCTAGATCTTGATTGATGGTAAGACACATGGAGCTAATGCTGGGTCTACACATACTGAAAGGAAACAAAGACTTTTCACCAGAACCAGACTTCTAGCTTCCTAAATTGTTACAGAATAATTTGAAAATTCATTTTTTTGTTGTTGTTAAAGCTAAAAACAAAGTACAGTGTACACCTATTAGTGGGTCATTAGTGCCAAGAAAAGGAATAGAATTAAAATATCAGAGTGCACCACTCATGGTACTGATAAGTATTGTTTTGTAAAAAATTGTTTCAAATATCTGTATATATACAGTGACAATGTAAAATTTATTTCTCCTGGTTTTTCCGAGACAAAAAGTATAAAAACCACTACCTTATACATAATTATTTCCACCGAAGTTGTAGTCTGTACAATCTTCTCACATCAATATTTCTCAAACGTAAATGAACATAAGAATAATTTTTGCTTTTAAACTTTTTATTGTGAATTGAGTGAAGGTTTATAGAGCAGATCATCAGTTTTACACTCAACAAATGATATACTTTGCTTCATTGTTGTTGTTGTTAAGTGCTATCAAGTTGGTTCTGACTCATAATGACCCTGTATAAGGTTTTCCAGGGTTTTTAAGGAATGGCTGGTGAGTTTGAGCCATAAATCTTGTGGTTCAAACTGACCTTGAGGTCGGGTGCTTATCCTATGGCAATCCCCCATCAACCAAAAGTTAACAAAAGCATTTATCTCTATTCACTTTAACTATTGCATTCCTCTCTGTGTCTCCCGCTGCCTTCATCTTTCCTCTGCTAACCTCCCTCTTATTGTATATTGCCTGTCCTGTCACCCATGCTAACTTGTGTCTACCCTCTGTTGTTGTTAGGTGCCATCTACTCGGCACCAACTCATAGCGACCCTATGCACAAAAAAATGAAACCCTGCCCAATCCTGTGCCAACCTCACAATCATTGCTATGCCTGAGCCCATTGCTGCCACTGTGCCAATCCTTCTAGTTGGGGGGGAGGGGGGTCTTCCTGTTTTTCTCCAGCCTTTTACTTTACTAAACATGATATCCTTCTCCAGGGATTGGTTACTC